AAAAAAAAAAAAAAAAACCAAAGATCACAAATCGCTTAAGAGGATAAGTTAAAAGCACAGAAACGATGTTCGCGGTCCAGCTTTAAGAATTTTGCATTGCGTTACCCAACAGACACAGCAAATTCTTTCCGCGAGGAATAAAATTATTTAGAGTAATCTTATACAGAGATGGAGAAAGAGACTACATAAATAAGGAACATTTTCAAGACTTTTCACCTCCGCTGTCCCTGTTTGGCTCTTCTAAAAAAGAAAACTTATGACTTTCTCTTGGGTTAGCTAAATTCAGTTGTTTTCGCGCATAGTCGCGATAATCCGTTATGGGCATGACCTATTGTCCTATTCTTTTTTCCCTGATCCTTAAAGTTTATTGAAGCTCAAGGATGTCCAGATAGTCGTCTAATATCAAGGGAGCCAATGTAGACATTCTCCTATGTTGTATTCACATCGATAGCAGTGCCAAGCAGTTATACCGAGTACAGGGTGAAAAGGTGCAGATGACAGAAGGTGGCAATGATTGAAACAAATGCACCATTTCCTATAATAACATAAAAACTAATATAATCTAAAGGCTGAAAAGGCCCACGACATTAATTCATTTTAGACATTACGATAGGGAACATGCATGCACATATAAATAAATTGTTTAATGTGTGAGTGTGTTTCGCACAAGTCAATTATGAAGGAATCAAAGGCCTAATAAAGTTATCCCAAAACTGAGCAAAATCCATGCACTTAAGTAATTAAGTTTGGCAAAGCCTACACCTGCAGTGTAAGAGACAGTAATCTGCTGAAAGCTCTTAATACTGGGACAAACATGGCGTGTGTAGATACTCTTAGCTGTTAATTTTAACGAAACTATTCATTCTGAGTAATGCAGTTGATGCCATGATCACGAATGAATTTTTTTAATATTTATCGATTTTGAAAAAAAGTACTTTCGTAAACGTGACAGAGAGGAGGAAGTCGTGGGTCGTGGATTGCGTGAATTATTTTCACCGTGTGCAGATGCCGCAGAGGTGGGTAACTCTGCCAGATACAGCTCCTTGATGCCATTGTGATTACTGAAACTTAGACCAATTTTTGGGAAACTCTATTACTGCGGGAGAGAAATAGATATTGATGCTTGATAAAGCCTTTAATCATTAAGACATCGATTACTTACGAAACAGAGCTCATAAATGACTAATAGGAGCATAATTAGGCCCGCTATCCATTGCGTAAGCAATTAAGACGAAAACAATATCCGGTAACAAATGGTCGCTTCGTAAGCCCAGGTCTCACCCACGTCTTTCATAATGCACAAAATGCCTTCAATAGGCAAATTAATTTTTGCGGCAGCATCCATGAATCTTTTATACCAGAGCGCGATGGCATCGATGGTCAGAATCAAGTAGATAATTCAGACACATAATGGCAAAATCTTATTAGAATATTAACTGTGTTACTTGACCCAAAACTAACTGATTGAATTCGCTTTAATGATTGCCAGACTG